ACAAGAGGGCGTTAACATCAGTCATCTGCAAAATAATACAGACAGCTGAAATTTTTAAACTGTGTTGCTCTTTGGGATCCAAATATTCTTGTCTCGGAGACCTCAAGTCACTTGGTGGCTGCAGACAGGCTCCCGATGCTCAGCTTGAGCAAAGCATCTCCGCAGCATCGTGCCGGAGAGGAGCTGCCCCATGGTCGGGCAGAGGAACCCCTGAGCTGTTGCTGCTTTACCTTGGAAAATGAACAAGCTTTTGGGCTTTTCTGCAATAAGTTGCTCATGAAGAAATTTTAGATCCTCCTGGGGAAGAAAAAAAAAATCTCAACTAAATCATTTCCAAGAGGAAATCCAGTGGCCAGACAAACCCGACCCTAATGATGCTGCTTTTCCTGCTGTTGGCGATGCAAGGAGCTCTGGAGCAGTGAGGAGATCAAGGCTCTAAAGAATGCAAAAGGTAAAAAAGCAGAACCAGAATATTTTCTGCCTCTGGAACGATGCTGAGGCTTGCTGTTGACACATCCATGTGTTTTCCATCTCTGCGGCGCAAGAAATGTTTTGGTCTTAACTGCCCTCTTGGGTTTTCAGTCAAAATTTGTCACTAATTATAAGGGGCAGCGGCTGGCACTGTCCTGTGTGTTGTGAATTTGAAGTGAAGATAGTCATAGATTGCTTTTCCTGAGTAAATATTCCCGTGGAATAACAAGAAGGAAAATATTACCAGAAATCTAAAGCGCAGCTTAGGGATCCAAGAGCAGTTTCTGCCTCGTGAACTCCCAATATCGCAGCACGTGAGCTCAGTCCAGTTAAGTAATTTATTCTTTAAGCATCTGCAAGGTAAGGACATACTTTAACTGTACCCAGTAAAAACATGGGCTGGGATAGATTGAGGTAGAACTGCAATGTGACCTTTACATCCCACAGAGACTTCTTGCAGTGCCAATGGACCGAACAAGGTTTGGCCAAGGTTACGGTTCAGGTTGCAACGCTGACCATCAGGAAAACCTTTCGGTCCAGCCTCCAGGTTGACTTGCTTTGCCTCCTTGCTTTATTTTCTCTGTGTGCAAGTTGTTTTTGCAGATACTACTGGCTTTCCTCCTAATTTCTGTTGCCCAGATGTGTTACTTTACATCAAAGTGTTCAGAATCTTCAGGTACTCAGAATGATTAAAAAGCTTTGCATGAGGAAACACGCCTCACACGTAAGCTGTCTACCTTGAGCTATGAGATTAAACTCAATCATGAACCTGAAAAAAATCAATCAAGGTACCCTCTCTTGTTGTAATGGTGTCAGGAAAATGTATTTAAATAAGTTGCACGCAAGAAGAAAGAATCACATCATTTAACTCCCTGAACTGGAACTAATAGTTTGTGCCCTGCCCCAGCAAAGGTCTGTGGCATATCTAAAGCCCTGTGTGGGAGGAATTTGGCTTTTTTTTCTTTCTGGTAGATATCTGGAACGTCAGGTGTCACTAGAAAACAAGTGTTTTCATGCAGGTTCTTCCCAACAGGTAAAAAAAGCATGTAAATAAACTTAATGGATTATGTTTAAGTCAAGGTACTTCCAAGGTTAGCACAGAGTAAAAATATGTTATTTAATCGTCTCTCCTAGTTTAGGGACCATCACTGTGAGGCAGCAGGCATTAATGGTTCATATTGCCAGCTCTGGTGAGAAGGACAGACATACCTTTTCAAAAGGATCTGAGCAAGGGGAGGGTTTGAATTTAATGCAAGGAGACCTGTATTTTCACTTGCTTTTTCTTCTTGTTTTGGGCCAGGCAGAAATACCTGAACAAACAATCCCTTTCGGTAATATTTTAGTCTTGTCTTTCTACTCAGGAATTCAGAGGGGAAGAAAAGGGATGGAAAAAGCAAACAGACTTTTTAAACCTTAGCTAAAGGGTGGTTTCAGTCAAAGAAACCTTTCATTTCATTTAAACGGCTCTCCAACAATAACATATATTCTAATATTATAGTGAACACAACCACCAGCCATCCACATCACCAAAATTCACTGAATTTAACTGCCTTTTCACCAGGTTCAGATGTCTCATTTCAGCACTCCTAAATGTTCATTTTGTTTGCCAAAGTAGCACCCAAAAAGACATAGAACTGCCTCTTCAGCACATACAAAATTTCTTCCTTGCCACCAGGTTAAATCCACATTCGGTTGTTGGGTCTCATCCTGGTTCCACTCACAGAGGGCTGTGCTTCATGGCTTTGGAGCTCTCCCTTTAACTCCTTGATCTTGAATTCTGAGCTCCATCCTTTCAGTATCTTTCCAAGGTGTCCTGTTTGACTTCAGCCCCACCACAAGAGTTGTATTTGCTTCTCCTCTGAAATCTGGCTCAAAACATTCTTTTCTCCAGGTTGACATGATCTTGTTACAAGGAAATCCTTACCAAGTTGGTTGCCTTTCCTGTTGTACATTTGGTTTCTCTGGTTTGAGTTTTTTTTCCTTCTTCTGACATTTGGTTCTGTGCTGGATGTCTTTCAAACATCACCCCATGTTACTGAACTCATCATTCTTTTCTTGCAGTCCTCTCAGACTCCTTTCTCTCCACCTCTTTCCTATTTTACTTCTTCTCCTTCCTTTTCTTGTCAATTAGGAGCAGATATTGCAACCAAATACATATTTCTGCCATGTGAGTGAACTAACTTCATTGACTTTTGAAAGAAAATAGGGTGTGGGGCATCAGCTCCAAAGGGCCCTGAACTGGCAAGATTGTTTCATCAATTGCTCCATTTTTTTTTTTATCTCCAGCTGCAATTTCTAGCCAATAACTTGAGTAATTGTTCTTCATGAATCATGCAAGCGGCCACAATTTCTTCAGTTGGTGCTTGGATTACTGTAAAGTGAAATGTGCAAAACCTGAACATTGGTTTTTCACCCAGACCTTCTGTCTTTATGTCACTCCTAAATATAGGAAAGTCATTCATGCCAGCGAGAATAATGACCTATAAAAACGTAAAATAATTTCTTCGTATTTATGAATCCTTTCCCTTTCACTTGTTAGAAATACCCCTCTTAATGAATGCTCTTTCTCCTTCATGAAGGTATTATGAACAATTACGTTCTCCAGTTTTAAAGTTCTGATAACATAACCAAATTCCTTATATTTGATCCCTGAGTTATGGACTATCCACACTCCTGGGAAGAGCTAAATAACTTTTAGTCCCAAAGGTGATATATTGGCTCTGACTACCTTGGACTGAGTGAACATGGGGTCTTCTATATATCATTATATATATGCACAGAGACCCCAAAAACATTACACAGACCCCCAGTTTTCTGTTCTGGTTGCACACAGGCTGGTTATTTATGCCCTGCTCTCTACTTAGACCTGCATTGCATTCCTGTTCCTGTTTGGCAGCACAAAGACAGTTTAAGAAATGAATAAGAATTAAATAGGACTTAATGAAAATGAAATTCAGGTCCTGAACGCTGATATCAAAGGAGCATTAATCCCTCCTCAGACTTGTGCCTAGAATGAGGCACAATTATGAATAGAAAGATCATCTCATTTTATGACGGATCTGATGAAAGGACTTCCACTGCTGTCAGAAGGAAAGCTATTGTGTTGCTGCTAATAAGTATTCATCAGGTTTCCAGGGAGCTGGATTACACCAAGTAATAAAAGGTGCAAATGACAGTCCTTCTGGGGCAGGTAAGAACAAGAAGAAAGCATTTCTGGAGAAGGCCAGTACAATCAAAGCACCTTCCCTCATAGTAACACTTTTGATATTTTCTCAGGCCGTCCTTTTCCTGCCCAGTGAAGCCTTTGTAGAGAACCAAGTCAGGATTCTCCCCTCCTTCTGCAGCTGGGACCTGTGCATGTGTTCATTGAGCTATTCCTGAAAGCCAGGACACGTAGCTGCTACCCTCCACACCTATTCCAGCAACTGAAGCTGGTAGAAGAGGAGCTCTAGAGGCTGTTCCCAGCCTGAGGCCAACAAGAGTCCATCTGGCTAATTGGATTTTGGAAAAGGTCCAGAAAGGTGTCTGTCCAACATCTGTCTCATAAGATGACACTATCTGTCTGGTAGGATGACACTAATCAGACAGTGTGAGGAGGCAGTTGCCTGTCCCCAGCTCCAGTCCCTCCCTAGGAATAACGGAGAGGGGGAGCTAGAGAAAACTCACCTTCTTTGCACCACCCAAAACATGTTACCTCTGCTCATTTTATCCAATGCTCAGGGTTTTTGATGAAAATGATGATAATATAACAGGTGATCTCAAAAAAGCATTTGTGCTGCACAAATCCTAGTTCAGTCTGTTTGTTGCACGTCTTTGTTTTTCCATTCTGCACACTGGCAAATAAAAATGGAAAGCCTACACAGAAATTCTGCTAGGAAAAGCAGCACGTGGATACGGTCAAAGCCACAAAGTGCTTGGGGAAGTCACCTTGGAAAGAAGTTACCAACAAGAGGCTGGTAACTAAAGAGATAAATGCCTCTGAGGTGTTTTTTTCTTCAGTTTCATTTCCCTTTTTTCCTCAAAAAACCCCCCACAACACAACAGGGTTAGACTCTATATTTAAGTATTTTCATTTTTTGCATCTGATCTTGAGTTTTTCAGGATGGTGATGAAACACAACCAACAGAGTAAGTCATGGGTCATTTACCTTTTGCAAGGGCTGTTCTAAACAGGAGCCAAGCCGTGAGGGTGCCTTGAGCAGAACTTGCTGCAACAGCTTTAAGTATCTCAGCAGGTTTTGGTTTCTATTTTTTTTTTCCCCTCACTTCTGTTTACCTGGTGTCTCTTGTCAGATATTTCAGCTGTAGGTTATAAAAGACAGGGATTGCCTTCCCCATTGCTTGTAAAGAGTACACAGTGGGTCACCCTTCGCTACCTGGAGTCTCCTGGTGCCACAGCAAGATAAGCTAATAATTAATCAGAAGTATTGCACCTTGTGGTAACATTAACAGATGGCCCATCAGCTCTGATTAGAATCACCATGTTAATCACTTCTCTTCCTTTGCTCAGTCCAGCAGGCTCCGCTGAAGATGAGCCCCGTGTTTCTCCTGCTCTTGGTCTTCACCGGCAATGTCGGGGCAACACTGGAAAAGGGCCTGCCAAGACGGGAGCCACGGCGCCTCTCGTGCGTGCGGTGCTGCGGGCCTGCCGAGCAGCCCGTCTCCATCGTCTCCTCGCGATACACAAGGATGAGCAGCGACCCTTCCTATTCCGTACCCAAAGTCCAGCCCACTATAGACATCACCATCCTCAAAGGTGGGTAAAGGCAACTACGGTGACGACATCCTTTATCTTGCTCAGCCTCATCTTGCAGGCTGTGCTCCTCCCCACGCCAAGAAACTCATCCACTTTGTGCACCTAAAAGAAGGTCAAGGGGTGACGCAGCCCGGGTTGTAAATGTGTTCAAGTGAGAGGAGTTGGCAAAAGGCTCTAATCCATCAAAAACCAGAATGACTGCAAGATCAGGTCAGCTCACGCTAAAAACCACATTCACAGAATTACTAGATGGGGGAGTTAGAAACCAGCAAAGACTCTCACTTTTTTGATTGCACAATCTTTTGTCTCGGTAAGGCAGGCAAACAAAATCCAGTGTATGATACAGCAGTCCCGTGAGTAAGGACAGGCAGACCAAAGCACATCACCTCTCCTAGGCCCAAATCAAGTCTCAGTTAGATCAGCAACTTTTCTTGCTCTGACCTCTGGGTTCGTGAAAACCGGATTCACCCAAGCAGTCTAGTCAGGTCATAGAATTCCACTATTGGACATCAAACTTTGCCACCACAAGCGCAGTGGAACCAAGATATTTTGATATTTTTATCCTTCTGAGGTGTCTGACCAATGTTTCCAGATCCGTGCTGGAAAATCCGTGTTTTAGCATCTGCTTTGCTGGTTGTTGCCCCACAGAATGTGTTCGCAGCTTGAGCTTCCTGTGCTTGTGTCTGACAAGGTTTTCCTTTTTGCTGGCAGGTGAGAAAGGTGAAATGGGAGAAAGAGGATACCCTGGAGCAGTCGGGAAGGCAGGAGAAAGAGGACTACGTGGCTTCAATGGACGGAAGGGACAGAAAGGCCAGCCTGGCCCACAAGGCCATTCCTGCAAGCAGCTCTACGCTGCTTTCTCGGTGGGTCGGAGAAAACCCCTTCATAGCTCAGACTACTTCCAGCATGTCACTTTCGACACAGAGTTCGTGAACCTCTACAAGCACTTCAACATGTTCTCGGGGAAGTTCTTCTGCTACGTGGCAGGAATCTACTACTTCAGCCTCAACGTCCACACCTGGAACTTCAAGGAGACCTACCTGCACTTGATGAAGAACGAGAAAGAGGTGGCCATCCTCTACGCCCAGCCCAGTGATCGGAGCATCATGCAGAGCCAGAGCCTGATGCTGGATCTGCAGGAAGGAGAGGAGGTCTGGGTGAGGATGTTCAAGAGGGAGCGAGAAAATGCCATCTATAGCGAGGAGTCTGACGTTTACATCATCTTCAATGGGCATTTAATCAAGCCGGCCGTAGAGTAACCATTCATCAGCTTCAGGCTCAAAGCTTTGGTAGATACATTAGTGTCTTCCCTCTTAGAGGTGCATATGTCTAGTTCCACCTGGAAGGATTACAGGGTTGTCTGTCCATGCCAAGCACACCTGCATGGATGGAGGTGACTGTTTCAAGGTGATGCAAGCTGCACAAACACCAAGACAGCTTCAGCCCTTACATGCCCTGGAGAAGACACATGCAGAAGGCTCCAGTTCTGCATTGCTGTGCAGATCCCCAGTAACATCCCCAAAGAGGTTACGAAGTTCATAGCAAAAATCTAACTTCTTTGCTCTGCTTTAGAGAAGACATTTTAATTATTATCTAAGGGTCAACTTCAGATACCAGTTATCTGGGTGCTAGTTAAGGAACATCATTACTCCTACAACAATACTTGAGTATCCTTGTAGTGTGCAAAGTATTGCAACATGGTTAATAAGAGCCCACACTCACCAGCACCTACAGCAGGTCTGCTCCGCTCAGGTAGGCAAGAATGCCCCAGTGTTAAGAACAGTATTTTGCACGGTAGGTTTACTCTAAACTACATTTTTGTTGCATTTCATGTAATCACAGAATAGCAGGTTATTACATTCTGAGAACATAATGCTAGACTTAGATAAATAACAGGGTATCTTCTAGTAGGAAGTGCCCCTGCCCATGGCAGAAGAGTTGGAACTAGATGAACTTAAAGGTCTCTTCCAACCCACACAATTCTATGATTCTGCATTAAGCCGGCAAAGCTTTTTCAAAGGCACATAATTTTAGGTATAACTGTAGCTACATGCCATAACTTTGCTAGATTTCTGTCCTGCTAGCAATATTTCTCACACAGGAACATCCAACACAGCTGGAAACGTGTTTATTTCCCATTTTAAGGAAAATGGTGGGCCCTGCATTAGGATCTGATTTCAGAGCACTCCTTGGCAAGCTGGAATCTGAGGCCACACTCATGTTTGAAAGTTACCATCTCCTAGCACACCCCTTTCTGGAAACTGGAGAAGAAAACTGGAAAAAGAAAAAGGTGCTTTACTCTAAGCAGCAATATTTTAAGGGATTTAGTTTGGGGGCTTTTTTCCTAAAAACTTATTGATTCAATGGTAGAAAGGTACATGCAGTAAGCAAAAAATATCATTTTCCCCCATTCCTCCTTGCCTATTCCTCCAGCCTCTTGTTTGCACTCCAAGCCATTTACATGAAGGATACATGAAGATTTCTTGCTAGGCTTCACTGCTGTACCTCACCTACCCACAGCTGTTTGGAAAAGTAGCTTAAATAAAGATACTGCTTTGAATACACTTGCTTTAGTACCCTCATCTTATTTATCTTATCCCATTATGCTTTTTTCACAGTGTAGGGCTAAAAGCACTAGACTGGACATCCAGTCCCATCTAACAGTTTCACATGACAATTTTAGTTACTTCAACACCAAAAGAGTTCACAAATTAGACCGACACCAACTCTTCTCCTTGCGGGCCAGTAAACAGCCATCATCAAATATCAGGATGGAGAGACAGAGAAGTTAATGACCCTTTGCTGTAAAATAAATATCTAATCTTTGAGATCTAATCATCTTCATGGAGAGGAACTTTTAAGTAGCTTGCCTGCAGAGCAAATCCGTGATGAAAAAGGGTCTACAAGCTTTGAAATACCATGTCTGCTCCTGCTTCCATCACAGCCTGCAGCGCTAAAAAGGAAGAGTGAGGAAGTTGCTTGGCTTAAAAAAAAAAAAAACAAATCTCCACAAAAATCTCCCAAGGGCATCTTATGGAGATGCTCCACCATCCTGCTGTCAGGTAACCCAGCTGCTTCGGTCAGGCCACTGCACAGCTCTTCCTTTCCACCCTCCTTCTCCAGAAGCTTCCCGATCAGCTGTTGCCATGAGAATGATGGTAAAGCTCAATCCAGCACTGGGAAAAACATGTTTGTGTTCAACCAGCACCAACTTTGGAGGCTTGCTTCCTGCTAGAAAGTAAGTTTTCCATTCACCTCACCATATATTTGTATTTCCATAACTCCTAGACACACAGTTACGGAGACTGATTACGGAAGCAGGAGGACACACTCAAAATGCTCATCACCAACACACCAGTGGCACAAGTAGGGACATCATTAAAGCCACATCGAAAGTTTATTCAGCACCTGAAACCAAATAATAGCAAAGGTTTAGGGTTTCCTGCATTATTCACATTGGTCATTTATAGCATCAAAGACCCAGAAGTCCCTTCCCTTCAGGGGAAAAAAACCCCCTGAAATATCTAAAAAGCTTAATGTCAAAGACATCCCAACTGCCACCTTCTGAATGTAGGCATGAGGTTTTTCCAACTCCAACAGCTAGGACAAGCATCTCTGTTTAGAGAAGTTTAATGAGCCAAATCCAACACAAATATTTGAGAGCTGCTTATCAACATACAGGCAGCCTAGCAAGGCCTCTCTTGTAGGAACAGAATTTAAATCCCTTTTTTCCAGCTATATATGGCTCAGAGAATTAAACTTAAAAAAAAGTTTGGTTTTTTTTTCCCCTCTGTTTTGAAGAGAAGAAAGTGGGTGGTTTAAATGCTGAAACCTAAATGAAAAGGAAGAAACTTAATTTGTATTTATTTTTCCAATTATTTCCCTAAATTGGCACTTTGTATTTCATGCTTTGAAGTCATCAGGCTTCTGTCAGAATATTTTTCTCTGTTAGAATACCCTTAAGTGAACAGTATTACAGAAAAATGACAAAACTGACTCAGCTACCACAAATTCCAGTGCATTTTATTTAAAAATACTATTTTATTATAAACACATTAGCTCTCCTGTAGGTCCCTCTCACTCCATGGTCCTTGTGGAATATGAAACCCCTATGGTTCAATGCAACAAGAAACCAGTTTACTAAATTATTATTTTTTGGCTAGAAATAGGGTGAGGAGAAGAACCTTTTGAGACCTTACACAAGGAGCTGTGAATGGAGAAGAGGAGCCTTCAGTAATCACAGAAACATTATGGAGAATATCAAAAAAGAGAAAGAAAACCCAAACCTAAATTAATTCTCTGTTTGGGTGGCATAGAAAGATTAAAACTGACTTTCAAACAACATGCATTTTGTTTTCTGACTGCAAACCCACACAAGATTCACATTTTTTTGCCCACACTTTTCCAAGAGGGAGGAGATAAACTCTCAACCATGCTCTCCTTCATTTCTTTGAGTGTCCTGGGACATATCTGTCCTTGTGCCAAAAGGGCAACAAATTGAAGAGAGCAAGCAAATGATGTGCCTCTGTCCACTGTGGGTAGGGCAAGATTTATGTTCAGTAGAAGGAAAAAAACACTTCAGGTAGAAAAAGAATCAGACTCTACAAGTGGCTGCAGCATAAAAGAAACTCTCCATCCCAGGAAGCCTTCAATGGCATCTGAGGATCTGTTAGGAATGATAAGAGTATCTCCAGCTCAGAGCACCGCATCACTGCATGGTGCCCCTTTAACCTTCTTTTCCTGCAGATTTAAGTTTCAGCTTGAAAAATAGCCCCCACTAAACACCCCCCTACAAAGAAACAGAGCCAGGTCTGCTTTCACATTGCTTTAAACGTGCTTCAGCTATGCTTCCCTATATCACAAACCCACATAAAACAAATCCTACAGCACAGCTCAGTAATTACTGGGGATCAACCTGGCCCAGCAAATCCTCTGCTGAAGTCTGCCTTAGAATTCTAAGTGTACTCATTCACCACCATTCCTTACACAATTGTACAAGGTGAAGCATTGCATTACAACTCATAAGATTTCTGTAGAGTCTTAGTGATGTAATTGCTCTATAACTTGCATTTTGCACATTTTCTCTGTTCTTACCTTGCAGGTATAAAATAGGAAGAAGAGGTCTTGCACTTTCAGACTTAACATTAAAAAAAAAAAAAAAATCACTTCTCTGAGTTCAAAATCAGAAGCACCTAAGCTTTTCTTCCTCATAAACTTAAAATAATCTAGGCTTATTTTTCTCCTTTCTTTCCATCCCTCCTTTGTTTTCCTGAGGGAGAGGACAGGGTGGTGCTTGAACTCCTCTTTATATGGTGAAGCAGCAAATTACTTGGAGCCCACCTGTGTCTGCCTGAACAAGCTGAAGGGCTATATAAGGCAGCATTAAAGGCTGGGCTGCTTTTAGACTTGATGGGAGAGGTGAGTTTTGTGTTGGTTTAATGAGTGAGCTGCTGGGGAAAAGTTCTAGGTGAGAATTTTCCCTTATGTTTTAGTAGAGAGTGAGAGAAGGCTCTGTATTTCATAATCCTCTGGGTGTATTTGTGTCTTTTCTGTTGCCTGGAGTGAACTGCAGCCTTACTAAGTGTGAGGGGGTTGTTATAAGGACCCTTTTCTGGGTCTTGTTACTGGTCCTGCAACTTCTTCACTGACTTAGCAGAAGACCTTGCTCTTCAAGAATTTAGTGCCTTTTTATGCTGCCTTTAAATAATGCTCTAACTACTCAGAAATGCTCTTCTGGAAGAGGTGTTAAAGGACTTATCCTGGCTGTGACAAGCAACTGGTGTTCAGGTTAATAGCTCTTATAGTGCTATTAGAGCTCATTACACCTGGCTGAGCTGGTGCCTGGGCTGCTGCTTAGTGCTCTTGATGCCAAAGGGCAGCAAGGAAACCAAAACCTCTGTGTGCTCTCTGTTTTCTCTCCTAGTCCGTTCCTGCATGCTGGCTTCTGGTCAAACCCTGTACTGTCAGCCTTGTCTGAGTTGATTCAACTTCTGAATTCATCCATTGACTCTCTGAGGCTGTTCTGGTGAGCTGCAAAGCACAGGTCATCTCCTTTAAGAAAGCCCTTATAGCGCTTCATAATTCTCAGTAAACAGAGCAGGAGGGGAAGATTAGGTGTTTATCTTGCTGTAGGATTTAGCAGTGAATCTGAAGTGCAGTGAATCACCTCACTTGCACCCCTCTGGTGGCCATGAGTGGTCCAAGCCAGGTGAGAAGAGGATCTGGGAGGACTGACACTATCCCCTGAGATAATCACTAA